CAAAACGGGACGTCAGATAATCAACCGCCCACGGGCGGGGTGGGCCCGGGGGCGGGTATGTTCATGGCATTCTGGGGGCAAACCCATATTGGGGAAAAGGGGAGATGTGTAATGGTGTGCACTTCGGGAACCAACTGTAATAAAGAAAAACGGGCGGGGGGGGGGGGGCTGGAGGGATGGGCCGGGGCGTACGTGTACTGTGTGCACACCAAGACAAGGGGAAACACGCTCGCGCGTGTGTTTCTCGCAGTCTGGACGAACGTGCGGGGAAAGGGGGTACGACTACCGTGACGGACTTTCAAATCTCGATTACCCCACGACGGAGAGAGGATGCCGATATCCCCACGACGGTTCTAACACCGACGCCCTTTCGACACCGTCGCTCAATGTGTTTCTGCCGAGTACTCGAGCATTGAAAATCGATCCAGGGGGTAGACTATAATAGATTACGCAGCCTGGGGTAATGCCGGCGTCCGTCTACAATGTAGCTTAGCAGTGCCGGTGTTTTCGGCGGGCAAAGACTATGTAGGTGCCCCTCATGTTGGGTAGTTAGCTTTCCGCGTCGTTTGGACCACACGGACACTGAAAGGTACTGAGCGCAGCCCGGGATTTCTTTTCCTTATTGTTCTAATACTGTATGACACTACGAATCCATCTCTATCCATAGACAACAGTCTGGTGGTATACGATAGAACAGCAATGAATTCATAGCGTCAGCAGACTCTAAGACAACGACGACAGCAACAACAACAACAGATTGAATAAAACCACAGCAGTCGAAACGGGACGTGTTGGAGTCTTTGCAATGAGTGGAGGGAAACCGGCTGGGTACTGGGCTTATTTTGAGTTTTTTATGCCAACACACTGAAATATTTATCAGTGATGCCAGCAGGTTGCAAATCACAATAACACTGCTGTTGAGGTGTATATGACGAAAGCACTGTATAGGCACAAATATTACATGTACCAGCGCTACCGAAGGCACCCTCTGCCCCACTGCAGCATCACATCAGGCAATGACCCGCGCGGGCGGGCCATTTGGAGAGTAAATCACCCGCGGGAAGACTCACTGGCAACAGACAATCGTGGTTCCGATCATAGAGGGCAATATCGGTAGACGATGTTCCTTCGCACACGTACTCGATGGGCTCAGCGTGGCAGGATAGGCCGAGTCCCTTCCGGGAAGCTTGCTCAGCAACCCAAAGGTTGTAGCACATTATCATCGTACAAAATAAGTATAAAGCGTGTCACCACATGCAAATCGTATGATACCGCTTGGGGATGTTGCACCCACAGGGTACATGATGGAATTGCTCCGCTTCGTACTTGCTGTGTCAAGGCTGCCTGCCCCCTGGGGCTCGTACCTGCTGCTGTCGAGACCCGACACGCTTTCGTGGTGCGCAATCTGCTGCAGCGCGCGCGAGAGAGATAGCCTCGTGTTTTACCTATGGGTGAGCTACACTCCAACCGAAGCCGGTATACATGTACAAGCGAAACGGAATTGCAAACATACTGCTTGCTGTACACATCTACCAAAGGTGTAACGCGTGGTGTAATATAAGCAGCAGCAGCAGCAGCAGCAGCAGCCCATTGACTACTCGGGGCTACCGGCCTCACCTTCTCTGTCACCGTGTGCCCCGGGAGGTGCACTATCTCGGTCGGGTGCCGACGAAGCTCGCCTGCAGCTGCCGTTGCCGCTGCCGGTGCTGCGACAAGCGTCGTCGCTGCTGCTGTGCACAACACCATTATTTTCCTTGTCGCCATGATGGTTGTGACTTTCTTCGTCAGAACTACGCCCCCTCTTGTATTATACTGATCGTTGCTTGCCCGCCACACTTTACTGCCCGCCTCCGTCTGTCGCTACTACGACGAGATAGACAGGCAGAATGGATACGAGATGTTGTGCGATACTGCTGGCTGATGTGGTGTGCGTGTGCGACCAGCGGATCAAAGCGCTGGCCCGTCGTGTCTGCTGTGTCGATGCACGATCATCGCACACACAGAGCCGCTTTGGAGGCTCAGCGACCATGGGTAGGGCAACCCGGGAACGAGTTATATTAATTTCGCGCGAAGCGCGAAAAAAATACGAAGAGGCGTTTGGGCTGAAGCCTCTTTTTTTCTCCTTTCTGTGCCCTGTTGTTTTGACTGTTATCTCGCTCAAATCGAGCTCGATTTCAAAATCGTTTTTTGTTCTGCATTGCCTGGCACTTTGCGAGGAGGACTGATGCATGCGCATCAGAATGTACAAGGAATTGCGGCCGAGGGAGTGCACTAAATTAAGAGGCTTTATGATTGTGCGGAAGGTACCACCTTTTTTTTTTTCTTGCATGCGTCTGTTGTACGTGTACTTATCTCTTTCAAATCGAGTACGATTTCAAAGTATAGTGTTTTGCTCTACATTGGGCATCTTACGAGAAGGATCGATGCGTGTACATTCAAGCCATGTGTTCTTCTACATTCAGACGTCTACGAAAAACACGGCAGCATCACGTCTGTGTAGGTTGGTTCTGCTACAGAAGACTGCACCACACCCCGATCAGGGCTAGCATCGGCCGTTGCCGTTTACCCCCAAACCGGTTTGGGAAACAAGAATTGGAACTTCAGCGACAGCAGAGTTTGCCAACACTATGTAGTTCTCTCCCATTACTGCTATGTACTTACGTTGCTGCCAGGCACTCCTACTGCTGTTGTGGTGCCCACAAGGTTTGCACGCCCCCCCGAAAAATGACACATGTCCAGCCTCCATAGCACGGATGGTACTTCTATCCCCTCATGCCCATCTTCGCATTCGGCATGGACGCCCCCGTCCCCACCAAACCGCCCCTACTCACTACCCCAGTCACCGGCTGCTACCGCTGTAACCTATACACAAGGCGTTTCCAAATTCCAACGGGACACAACAGCATTTGCTCGCCGAATAGGCGCTCGCTGAAATAGCAACGAATAAGCATGGAAAACGAACCCTAGATCTCCGAATGTGCCTGTGCGTAAACCAAGCGTTTACATCTTCCGGTCGTCACAACAGTTCTCCGCAGGATGCAAGATGACTGCCAATGATCACCAAGAGGTTCGCATTGAATCGCCGTTACATCGCGCAGGATTAACACCACGTCTTCAAACACTGCCCTGGCACCCCATAGGTTGGGTAGCTGTTCGACGGAGAGGAACCGCCAAATCAGCCTTCGACCCCGTCTTGATGTCCAGCGCTCGGTTGTATGAACACCTGTCATCCAAAGCGAGAACATGACATGTGTTTTGCGATTCAGCATTTTCATCAGAGGCCAAAAGGCAAAAGTGAACATACCCAAGCGTCGAACTTCTCTACGGCCCTTTGTAGTGCCATGGTTGGACCGCGGACAGTTGGTAAAAGTGTGCCCGACCGTTGTGCCATCGATACAAGTATGCGTCGTAAACAAAAATGCAGAAACTCTACAAACACTTGAGTAGCACAAATGTCGCTCCCAGCAGCACGCATGCAAGCGTATCCCTCAACAATATCACGCTCATCCGTAGAGTTGTATCGCAATCTGGACTGCACGAAACCCCCTGTTGCTGCTCTATGCATATGACCCACCTAAAGATGAACCGGCTTGTCAAGTGAGGCTCGAGTCGCGGCCGGCTTCCCGCCAGCGCCGCGGTGCCGTTAGGATGCTGAGCGAGAGTACCTGATGCACGGATGGAGCAAGAGGAGGAAAGGGGTACGAAGAACACACAGGAGGGAAAACGTCAGCAACTGCATTGACACGCCTCAACGATGTACCACGTATTTACTACCATACAAGCCTGCACCCTGTGTCCGCCTCAACGAGCGTTACCGATGATAAACCCTGAAACTACTGCTGTACAAGTAGGAATTACACTCGCGCTATGTACATAAAACTGCGGTACACAGGAGGTAAGAACAAACAACCCGCTACATACTGCTGAAGGTTGCAGTTGAACGTTGACGACAAAAAAGAAAGAACCGTGACAAGGTTGCCGACGTACAGCAAGCAGACCTTCACAGATCTCCAGTTCCTCGGAAGGGACTGCGTGGATACAGTTGCTACAAATGAAAGGATTTGAGGTTGGACGTGGGAAGAAACGGCCTTTGACCCCTAGTCACAGCTTGATACATGCAGCGATGCAGCTTCCGGACGGATTTCGTCTTCGGGGGTCCCCCCTCACGAGCTAGGTTGCGCTTTGTATTGGTTGTTTGTATGTTCTTGAGGCTTGGTTCGGGGGTAGTTATTGGGGCAGATCAATCAGGTGGCTGCCCTGAACAGCCACATGTACGACGACGTATGCATACGGCGTGGCATTGACGCCCCATCAAAGGACTATTAGCGTGACGTTGCCTCTAGATGCGAGCAGTGTAGACGAGGCGAAATCAGCCGTGGGAGAATAGGCGTTGACCGAGCGGATCGACGGTTGCGATGAGCGGCACCCCGGCACGGAAACATGCGCGGATTCTCAACGTTTGAAACAGCGACTGAGGATGAGGATAAATATGCATACGATAGATC